AAAAATCATGCTAGGACTATACAAAGTTTCTTTTTTTTAAGCTTCCCTGAATAACTTACAGTCCAAGATGTAACTCCAGAGGCTTAATATTATGGGAAAGGAAAAAGAGAAATATGGACATTTTTATTTAATTATTTTAAAGCATGCACTGATTTTTTTAAGTGTTAAAAGGTAAACTGAATTTGATTGGGTTTTGGTAATTTTAGAGCCTTAACTTCTTGTACTTGACTTGATGAGTTTCCTTATGTAAGGAAAGCCAAGCACCTTTTGAAATCTGACTTCATTTGCATACTGCAGTCACATCACTTAAAAACATCTTCCCTTTCTCTCTCACCATATTTTTAAAACAGCAATTCTAAAACATTAGAATTACAACATAGCAACTTACTTGTGTTGGTACAAGTACTGGAGGATATGCTAGTTTATGATGTCTGTACATCCAAAATGAAAACAACACGATCACCGCAATTCCCATTATAGGCACCAACGAGTAAAGCAGGGTATTGAACAAGAGTGGTTTAGTTGTAACAGGATTGGAAGTGGCTGAAGAACAAAAGTTACAATTAATCTTTAAAAAACTTATCCAATGCCTAAAATTATTATTAAGTTCTAAATGAAAAACACATTCAGAACACACACATTAAACAAACAATAGTGGCAGAATCTGTTAAACATAATAAGGTTTAATAGCCAGATACCTATTTTAGGGTATGTCTACACTACCCCTCTAGTTCGAACTAGGGGGGGTAATGTAGTCATACGGAGTTGCAAATGAAGCCCGAGATTTGAATTTCCCGGGCTTCATTTGCATAAAGCCGGCCGGCGCCATGTTTAAATGCCGGCTAGTTCGGACCCCGTGCCGTGCGGCTACACGCGGCACGGACTAGCTAGTTCGGATTAGGCTTCCTATCCGAACTAGCTGTACGCCTCGTGGAATGAGGTGTACAGCTAGTTCGGATTAGGAAGCCTAATCCGAACTAGCTAGTCCGTGCCGCGTGTAGCCGCGCGGCACGGGGTCCGAACTAGCCGGCATTTAAACATGGCGCCGGCCGGCTTTATGGAAATGAAGACCCGGATATGACTACATTACCCCCCCCCAGTTCGAACTAGGGGGTAGTGTAGACATACCCTTAAAGATTTATGAAAGATTTTCAAAAGCATGTACATTTAATTTCAACTGAAAGGACTTATGCTCCTAAATTCCTAAGTTGTTTTTGAAAAAAGTCTTCCTCTTAATCATCATAAACTATTTATTATTCGTGCAATTACTAAAGAAAATCCTCAAAACTGCCATTTCAAGAACAATAAATTCACACGGGATGCTCAAACTTCGGGAACTATATCACAAGGCACCATTATACAGTGTTGATTTAAATCGCTAATTTTTAAATCATGTTATAAATCAACAAACAGGAAATCTTAATTTAAAATACAATTTCATCTTCTTTTGCATTTGTACTCTTCAGTTATTTTCGTAAGAGAAAAATGAATTCTCATTGGTTAATAGCCATTAAAACACATTCAACTGAAACAAAAAATATTTTACACTGTGATGGTTCTCTTTGCTAGAAGGATAAATAAATACATATTGATATAATGTAAGCAATTGTATTGCTTAAAATACATATTAAGATTCAGCTTTTCCTTTTTTAATATTAGAAAAAAAAAGTCTCATTTATTTACCAAATGATTAATTTACTTGTGATTCCAAGCTCCATCTGTGTGGAAACTGGAAAGCAATTAAAATACACAAAACAGCATTTTTAAACTTAAATATCTAGCACATTTCAGGCAGTTTATTTAAGAAAAAGATGCAACACATATTGCATTTAAAAACCAACTACTTTATTGTAAAAAGGAACTATTTTTGGTAAATTAATTCAACTGATTGTTTCTGAAAGCTTGTGCACACTAGCACCTGCTTTGGTGTAACTTACTTGCTATTCTACTCCCCTTGAGCAATTTAACTTCCACATGTTCAATGGTTTGACTTTAAAACTCTCTCAGCAAAACAGGTACTAGTTAATATTTATTATTTAATTTGTATTATCTTTTTACAAAAATAGCTATTGATACAATTTTCCAATAAAAACATCTCAATATAGAAATAGAAAGTGAAAATTATACATGTATAATTACCTTCTGTAGCAGGCACATAGTGTTAACATAATTTTGCAAAAACCCACTGAATCAACCTTAAACTATACTAGGGGTCTGCGCCCCCTGCTCGCTGTGCTTGCCATCCCCCCCTCTCTCTGGGGGTTGGTGTCTGGCCAGGAGAGAGGGTGCAGGAGCAGGGTGTCTGGCCAGGTGGGGAGGGGGGAGGAGAAGGCTGGGGGTAGGTGTCTGGTCGAGGGGGAGGCTGCACGAGTGAGCTGGAGGAGTGCGGGGTCTCAGTGGAGAGGATGTTTGAGGGTGCAGAGTCTCGGTGGAGGGCGTGAGAGCACAGGTTAGGGGAGTGGGATCTTGGTTGAGGGGGATTGTGAGGAGGATGGGGGTGCAGGGAGGGGGGCCATGTGGCACCTGCCCCCCGCGAAGGGAGAAGCTGCGTGGCTCCTGACCCCCCCCCCCATTCCTCAACTCCCCAGAGCATCGGGAATGAGGGAGGCCACACACGGAGCACCAGAGATTGGGGAGGCCATGCAGTTCCTGCTCCGCCAGAGCACCAGGATGGGGGAGAGAGAGGCCAGAGGCTGAGAGTGGAAGGGCAGCAGGATTCAGTGTGACATTACGACATCACTCTGTCATCCCACAGGAAAATTCACACACACACACACACACACACACACACACACACACACACACACACACCAAATACATCAATATTGTCACACTAATGCAGAAGAACAATGCAGACTACACATGGTCAGGCAGCATGGAAGTATCAGCAAAGAGTCTAGGGAAAAGAGGCTTGGACTGGCTGTTGGGTCTTTAAGTGTTATCTAATTAAGATGTTTCCAGAAATAAAGCAATGATTTTCCCAAATTCATGTCACTGACTCATGTAGCAGAAAGGGACGCTTTCTTTGGCTGTTAGGTCTGAATACCATTATCCTACTGAACACAGTAAGTTATTTTCCCACCTCTATAAAACTTATTTGCTTTGTAATCATGACTTCTCTCAGAAACCATAAGTGATGTGTCCATGAGAGCAAAATTTGCAGCAAAAACATTCTAATATGCTGTTCTCAAGTTATATATGATTGCTAAATCGGAAAATTTTATTCTACCTAATCAATCTATTTCTATAGAATTGGGTCATTCCCAGGGACTGTGCAGAAGTGTGACCCTATCTTTACCATATTACCAGCATGTACCCAAAGAGAAAACTAATCTCAAGTAATACCTGCAATAGCCAATTCATTCTAAATATTTTTTTTCCTTAATTAAACGTGAGTGTAAATCTGCAGGAGCACATTTTGCATTGCATAATTAATTTGATCATTGTAAACCCTTTAAAGGATGCTCTAGCTCTTTTTCCTGGATTTACTAGTAAATTCAAAAAAGTCTTCGGTCTTCAAAAAGGCACAAATGGATAACATGGGTCTGAGTTTGTGTAATGCCTCTATTATATTTCGTTCTGGAAGGGCAGGAAAGAGAGCAGAACGTCCGTAGTGTCAGTACAAACATAAAAGATAATTAATTTTTTGGCTGTATATCCTACTATACTGCTGTGTTCAAGAGGTCATATTGTTTTAGGACTTGGCATGGAACTGAAAGAAACCACCTATCCTAATCACCGACTGAGACAGGAATAATTTAAATTAATAAATATTGAGTTTAGTCTTTAGCACCACTATCCAATGTAATTCAAAATGTTTAAAATAATAAACAAACAAATTGTTTAAAATAACTGACCACTCAGCCATTCTATAAATAACCCATGAAGCAGAACTGATATTCACATAGATGAAAGCAGATCATCTCACCCTTATAATGATTGCTTTTTCAGGGTGTTTGTGTGGGGAATGGGGAGCAAAGTTGTTTACAAGTTACAACACACACACACACACACACACACACACACACACACACACCCCACCCCAATTTTTCAAATTGATATTCATTGTTAGGGAGACTTTGCAATGTTTAACAGGTTAGGTGCCTTAACTAGAAAACATGGCAAAGAAGCCTGGCAAATTTTTAAAATTATTGCTTTAAAACATCATGCTTTATCATCTACTTTTCTTAGTAGCCTTGTGAGAGATTGTGTGTTCTTTTCATAAGATTTTCAATTTAAAAAACAATTACAGATGTACGAGGCAATGCAACCAATTCTGAACCACTATAGTCAGGACCAAAATTTCAGGTGCACTACACCAGGGGTGGGCAGTAATTTTTGACAGGGGGAGCCACTCTAAGATTTTAGAAAGTGGTCAAGGGCTGCACTCTTCCATCTTAAATGGAGGTTGGGTACAGAAGGGATCTTGGGGTAAGGGACTGGGATGCAGGAGGGAGACTGGAGTCCGGAAGGGAGTTAGGATGAAGTAGGCGGTTGTGATCTAGGGCAAGAGGACTGAAGTGCAGGGATTTGGGATGTGACTTAGGGTAGGAGGGGATTGTGATCTGGGGCAGGAGATTGAGGTGCCAGATCTGAGAGGGGTATGCATGGAAGAGAGGAACAGAGGGTTTGGATATGTTGAGTGGGGGGCGGGGCAGAGGAGGAGAGAGTTGGGGCAGGAAAGGGCTGGGGCACCAGAAGCAGGCTGTGGCCAAGAGACTTGTCAGCTGCCAAACTAGCCTGCCTGCCTGCCTGCCGAGCTTAAAATGTTTCCCTGCCTGCTTGTCTGGCCATGTGCTTCATGAATATCTGAGTGGAGAAGAGGGAGCATGGTTCTTCATGGCTGCCTGTTACTCCAACAAGCAGCTCACATTGGCTGGTTTCTGCCAGAAACAGGCCAATGGCAATGTTCTGGGGGCGGGGCGGCTCCTAAAACTTCCCCACTCCCCTCCAGTTTTAAAACAGAAATAGAGCCCTGCAGCTGCGTTTCTACACGGCATGCAGGGCTACAGGGCAAGCCTGCCTGGGGCTCCCTGCTGCCTCTGCAGGCCGGATCTGGTGGCTTGGTGGGCCGCATCTGGCCCGTGGGCCATATTTCGCCCAGGACTGCCCTACACAGTCATGTGTACTTCTATGCTTAGATTATAGCCCTGTTACCGCCACTGTCTGATTCCTCTCTAGGCCCTTTCCCCCTCCCCTGACTACTCTTTCTGGCTAGTGGCACCAGGGTTTCTCCCTGCACCTCCTCCCCTCCGGGCCAGAAGCGAGACAGAGGATGGAGAGGAATCAGTCTCTGTCTCTGCAGCGCCACTTTGGCCCCAGGAAAGCCCCCGAAACTCTGAAAGAGGCTACAAGGGGGGGGAGAAGCTCTGAGGTGGTTTGAGGAAGGAAGCCCCAAACCTCAGGCAGAAGCCATGTAGAGGAAGGGAAGCTGCAAGCCCCAGAAAAGGCCAAACAAGAAGGAGGGAAGCCCCAAGACCCAATAGGGGGGGGGAAGAGCAGTCTTTGCCTCAGTTGTATAAAGCATAAGGGCAGCCCCGATTATATTTACCCCCCGCCCCCCAAAAAAAAAACCAACACACAAGCCAAAAAAACCCCACCTCTTTCACATGTATGTCTGTAAATGAACAGAAGCTATCTAGAATATTTTGGAAAAGTATATTCTCAAACATACAGAAACTGCATACTGACCCACAATGAAGAACCATTTCTTTAGAATACTAAACAACTTACGCTGTGTTACTTCCATCTCTGGAATATAGAAAAAACGTTCATTACACATATTGCCTTCACAGCAACAGAAGAACACGTCAGGGCTGTCTTTCTTTTCTATACAATCAGTCCTGAAAGAGAATCAGAAAAATCATTTTTGTTCATTTTAAACCGACTTCCTTTGTACAAGAGCAAATAATTGTATATATTAAATACAAATTTAACCTTGGAAATGAACTTTTGAAAATTGTGATCCATCAGATCACATTAAGATGGCATTATCAGAATATCATGCCAAATTAAGGAGAAAATGTATTTCATTATAGATCTACTTCCATTTGCAGAAATATAGCAATTATGAACCTTGATGACAGAAACAGTCTTCATAACCGTGAAAGTTGTAAACATTAGTATCCCAAGCAAGCCTGCGTCTTTCAAAAATTCCTCTTGGCAAGGGGCAGAATGGGGGAGGAGGAGTTTTAATAATTCATGAACCCAATTTAAATGAGGCATAACAAATAAAATGAGTATTTTGAATGCCTTCAGTTTATCCCTTAAACCTGTGGTGTGAGGCTGATAAAAGAAACACACTTTAAAAGGAATACAAGGAATTTCTATGCAACTAAATATTAACTTTGCCCAGATCCAGAGCTTATTGCACTAAATCTAAAACTTGTAGCCTGTCGCTTTGACACCTTAATATGTATGTTTACTTATAAATACGTATTAGCTGTATTCACATTTAGTTAGAAGTTTCTAGGAATGTTGCACACGGCACGCAAGTAGCTGCACATGTCACGCTGTGCTGCTGCACACAGGACACTGATCCAGGCTGTTACAACTTGTTTATCAAAGCACCCAATCAGACCCTTGTTTTCCTGTACATGGTCCAATGATTTTAAAGATAAAGATCATGAATATTCATGAGGAGGGTGCATATAAGGCCTGGTTGACAGTTATTCAGTGTTCGCACCACTTCCACCCTGCTTGCGTTCATGTCACCCCGTTAGTCTATGTTAGTTAGTTAGGGTAGCTAGATTTCGTCATCGAGTGTGTCCATTAGGATTAGTGCGTCGGGTTACCGCTCAAGCGGCCGGGTACTTTGTCCATGACGGGAGCGTCGAGTTTAGCTAGTCAGGTTTTGTTTCCAGGTACTAGGGATAGGTAGCTTGTCTATCGTCAGTTCCTGTTGAAGAACAGAAGCCACCTGAAGACCAGCGCCAGGCAAGTCTCCACCAGTGATTCCTGCATCTAGGAGCGGAAGTCCCCAGACAAGGATCATCACTACCTGCCTGCACTACACCCATCCCCAGGGTCATCGAGGGATCGCCTCTCTGTTCCTCGCTGAGGGCTCGGAAGGAGCCTAAGGCTTGAGGTCGAGAGCATCGCAGAGGGTCACCGCTGCGAGGGATCTCCTCCTTGTCTCTCACCGGAGGCTTTCAAATAGCCAAAGGTTCGAGAGATAGGAGCTTCTCGTCCATTGTCGACACCTGGAATTGTGTAACTATTGTTCCTGTATACCTTGTGTTTGTGGGGAACTTTTCTATCATCTTTTTCTTCTAGGGTTGGGAATTTAAGAGCTTACCTGCTTTTTCTTGTTGTGTCTTTGAACCTTTTACAATATATGGTTTGGCCCCTTTTAAAGTGAGTAACGTTTTTATTTCCTGCGGCATTTTATTTTTGGGTCAGCAAACACCTATGATAGATGAGGTTTGGTGTCAACTGCAACTTCCACTGAGGCCTTAAATTGATTTAATCAGATGCAAATTTAGGTACAAGCTTCCCTCAGTGTAACAAACTATGAGACATCAGATGAAGTGCCATAAACTGGTGAGGAAAAAAAATGCTAGAAAAACCCTTAAGAACTCAGGAGAGGGAAGGTAGGACAAGATGTTTCTGAAACCAGGCTGTGTCTAGACAGCAAGGTTTTTTAAAAAAAAATAGCATTTTTTCAAAAAAACGTCACCTGCGTCTAGACTATAGCCATGTTCTTTCAAAATTAAATCGAAAGAAAGTGGCTTTCCTTTCGACGGCGGTACTCCTCATCTCACGAGGAAGAACGCCTTTTTTCGAAAGTGCTCTTTCGAAAAAAGGCGTTCTTGAATGCAGACAGAGCTTTTTTGAAAGAGCATCCAGACTGCCTGGGTGCTCTTTCGAAAAAGCGGCTTGCTTTTTCGAAAGTACTGCTTGCAGTCTAGACGCTCTTTTTCGGAACAGGCTTTTTTGAAAGTATCTTTCGAAAAAGTCTCTTTCGAAAGAGGCTTGCAGTCTAGACGTAGCCCCAGAGAACAAAAAACAGTAAAGAACTCTATAAAGAGTTTGAAATTATTACAGAAATGATTGAAGATTGCTGTTTTATATACAAATTGAAGACTTCCTTATTATAGCTGCAATTTACTGTTTCTGTCATAATGTATTCATTCCTTGATATTATCTGTATGACACTATTTGGCTATATTTTCTTCACAAATATTTGATTAAACTTGGACAAACAAAAATTGCCCATGATTTATCCATGACACATAGCATATACCCCTAACTAAATCTTGGGAGCTCCGGGTGTAAAAGGGTGGACCAAAGGGTGATCTGGGGAGGGATGGCCAGGAAAGTGCTGTGGTGATAGAGCTGGCAGGCTCCCTACTTGGCTCCTCACAGCTCCCCGGAATTGGAGAAATCTTTGGGCTCCTACATGGAGACACAACCAGGGGGCAGTGTGTGCTGCTTCTGCCGTAAGCACTCGCTCCACAGCTCCAACAGGCCAGGAACCATGGCCAATGACAGCTGCAGAGGGCAGCACCCATGGGCAGAGGAAATGCGCAGAGCTGCCTAGCCACACCTTCACCTAGGAGCTAATAGGGCAACATGTTGCCTCTTCCAGGGAGGCCTCCCCAATCCAAGCCCCTTCTGTGCTCTGAACCCCCTCCCATGCCCAACTCCTGCTGCTGACCCCTGCAGAAGTCACAGAGGTCCTGGAAAGTCAAAGAATTCATTACTTCCATGACCTCCATGACAAACTGTAGCCTTGACCATACACTTAAAGTTTAGTGAAGGCTTGTTGCAGTTCACCAAGTAACTTTAAGCTATATATACCAGATATTGTAATGTTTTCGAATACCGTGTTCTAATTGAAAAGTCTTATATTCCATTAGTAAGTACAACAGTGATGCACTAAATAATGTGGATTATTACCAACAGTAATAGTATTTAACCACCACAGTAAAATGATTTAAAAATCAGTTCCCCACACAGACCAGTTCCCACCTGCTGCCTTTGACACAAAGGCAGCAGTGTAGGGCAGCCCCTGTCCGCAGGGGTCCAAGCTCCCTGCGGACAGAGGCTGCTCCAGCATCCAATGGAAAAGCCTCTGTCTAGGGGGAGCACTGGCCAACTGTGGGCAGAGACTATTCCACAGCAGCAGCCCCTGTCCTCGGGGGGACCAAGAGCCCCACAGACAGCCCTCCGCCATCTGAGGAAGCAGCACGGGGAGGAGACATGTGGCTCCGCAGGAGCCGGTGCTCAGAGAGCCGGCTTCCCATATGTACTGGCTCCTGCATGATCCCCACTCCGCTCTGCTAGCTCTCAGAGGCAACAGTGCAAGGGGAGCGGGGCAGAGAGCTCTGCAGAGCTGGTGCTCATGGGGAGCTGGCTGTTAAGTCGGCTCCCCCCAGCACCAGCTTTCCCCTTCCCCTCCACACTGCTGCCTCAGAGAAGCAGCAGGCGGGTGGGGGCTCTGTAGAAATCAGCATGTGTGGGGAGATGGCTCAAAAGCTGGCTCCCCACAGGCACCAGCTCCTGCTTCCCCGACTTGCTACCTCTGATACATAGGCAGCAAGCGGGGTGGTGGTGCATGTAGTAGGTTTGATTAACTGATAAGCCTACGCTTATTGGTTAATTGTTTAAACAATATGTGCTCACATTCCAAGTACAAAAACCATGAGCATTCACATAGGGTAATTTAAACCTATATTAAAAGAAAAAAGCCACTCTAACACTGAAGCAATATTATCCACCTGGGGTTATACCAGTTTGACTAGCTAGTGCAATTTTGTCTACTCAGAATCTTTCACAACCTCCTCTTCTTCAACTTTTCACTGCTTCTATGTGTTTTGAGTTTTTCCATTTTTTTCAATCTTTCATAGGAAGCTCCAAGCAAGGCAGTTCCAAGAAGTCTTGAAACTGCTAGATCTGCTCTAATTTGTAATGTATGAAAATTCTCATGGATTTCTGTGAAAATTAGCCCAATGCCAAGCACTGCAGAAAATCCCTCTTTAAAATTCGAAAGTTAATCTGAAGATGGAAATGTACATGTCCTCCAATGCCTTTTTTCTTCTTCCTGAAAGAACAGTCTACCTCCCTCCCCACAAGATAGAATTACAGTTCTACAAAACTGTGCATAGCAGTTGTCAAGATTTCATTCAAACTGCCTTTTTCTCTTCAGCACATCAATACTTCAGTCAAATGAGGAAACCACCCTTAGATGCTTTTCTATTTCTGAGGAACTGGCAAATAAGAATTACAACTTTTCCTTAAACTGCAGTTTATTGACAAATTCTAAGCTATAAAACCTCTTTACGAGATGAAGAGAACAATAATTAATATCATTTTCTTCCATTGACACAAGGAAAGCTTAACTTTTTTCTTAAAGATATGAAGATTAATAAGTTTAAGTTTTAAAGATTTGTACAAGTTTTTTGGGAACATTTTAGTAACGAGAAGACATTATTATAAAATTAATGCTTTCCTTTTCTTTCTTCCCTTCCAACTCCCATCATTGGCATAGAGACAATTTTATAGTTTCGAAATAATTCTTCAAAGTAGCATATGGTGATCAGTTAGATGGTTGTAATCTTTGGCATTTGGCCTAGACTCAACCAACGCCAAGTGATATCAATACAACACTGCTTACACACATCTGCGTTACTGCTTACACACATCTGTGACTGGCCGTCAGTTATGCAAAAAAGGCCAGGATTTTCAGAAATTATGAGCCCCATCAAGCTGCCAGTGGGAGCTTCTAGGAGCTCAGAAAATTTGACAAATCAAGCTGTACATTTATAAGTCTGGACCCTAACCCATTATTCAATGGGAGCTAGACTTTGAACTGAATACTTTTAAAATTCTACCCCTAGAAATATAACTTTTCGCATTAATTGGAATACTTTACTGAAGTCATTCAGTAATAAGCCATACTTTTAAAACTAATTTTACAGAACTAGAAGGAAAAAATGTTAAAATATAAATGCTTCTCGTTTGTCACTATTGCTATGACTCAATGAAAGACTAAAGTGCTCAACCTCTCAAAAATATGTCCAACTACTTAAATTTGTTAAAAGTAAGTCCGAACTGTAGGCACCCAAATTCAAAAAGTCAGGCTTCTAATATAACAAACAGCATATTGTTTCGTCTCCTACCTAGCCACTTTTTTTTGTAAACTTGATTTAAAGCATTATTATACATAAGATGGTTAAAATTCTCACCTATCATAACAGTTGATATCATCCAGCCAACAACCTTGTTTCACAATATCAATTGATCCAGAAATATTCTTCCATGTAGCAAAGCAGTGTCGTCTTTTATCTTTCTCACCATAACACGGTTCAATGCCACTGCGGTTTGTTTTATCTTTTTCCCAATTAGCATTATAGTAGATGCATTCCTGTGTTTCCGATCTGCCTAGTATGGCACCTATTTGGAATTAGAAATAATTTCACATTAAACCACTTGATTCTGAAGGCTGAAACACATCTGAATACTAAAAATCAAGCTGCATGTAAGTTGTTTATATTGACACCATTATTAATTAAGTTCTCTTCTCTTTCTTATATTTCAAGTTTGCATGCATTCTGAACCAGAGCTGAAACATAAAACAAAGGTGCACTGTTACATTTAATTATATATCCTGAACACCACATAGCTTGCAGAAAGGCTGGAAAATATTTCTTATTAAATAAGGGCCAAGTTTTGACAAAGCTGTTCATTACATTGCTGTAACCCAAGATTTTATTGTCTGAAGGACAGAGCTTAATACTAGTCAAAATAGTGGTGGTGGTCTTAAATTCCCAAGCAGCATTAGTCAACAAAATTTACCCAGTTTTCAAAGGCTGCCTCACTTAACTGTCTTAAATTTTTTGCATGTGATGCAACAGAGCATAAAGCAATTAATTTAATCTTAAAATTATTCAAATCAAGCTATTCAGTTTCACATACACCCTTTCTCTGAGAGTCAACTTGAACAATGACCACTAAATGCAGATAGACACTTCACAATGAGCACCCTTCACATAATTCTGTCAAGTGATAGATCAATGTCAGGTACAGTAGGCCTTTGCCTAGGACACCCCTCTCCATCTCCTAGGGTCACGTGATTATTTCATTAACCTCAGCTCTCAAAAGTTTCTTGTCCTTACAATAGTGAAATACAGCTGAAAATATAATCCAGTTAACAGCAGTGTTCACCTACATTTGAGCTAAGAGGTATGCTTCTCAGCTTATATAGATGTATCAATGCTAGTTCTGCTCAAGCAAGCCCACTAAAAATAGAAGTATAGTCACGGTAGCACAGGCAGCAGCTCAGTCTAACTGTCCAAGTATATACCCAAGGGACCCAGAACGATATTAAATTTTCAGTATACTTTTAAAATTTTAGCAAGGAGCCTCACATTATTTGAATGTGGATAAGATTCCCATCTCTTTGCCCATCTATAGCGAATTAAATGGAAGTCAAGAAAGGGGGGACTGTAAAGGCAAAATGAAATAAACATTTAGAAAATAATTTATAATATGACAGACAGAACTAAACAGTTTCCAGAGACAAACTTGAGATACCTCAAAAAAATCCCAACCGAATCCCAACCAACAGTTTTCATCTTCAATGTGAAACTCTGCATGTCCCTTAAAAATCATAATACAGATGGTTAATCTGTCTTTTTTTTAAAAAAGCTTACAATAAAACAAGACAGTATTTTGAAGAAAAAAGGTGAAATGCTTATAGAGATTAGAAAATAAGGAGGAGTGCTAAGTTTATAGCAATTAGAAAGTGTTTACAGTAAAACTCCAATAGTCAGCATCCAATAGTCTGGCACTGCTGATAGTCCGGCATCAAAATGGCAAGAGCCTAGTGACTGAGCTTCGGCAAAAAAATGAGTCACAAGGTAACAGCAGCAGCAGTTGAACTGAGCAAAAAGGGTAAAAAAGGGTTAAAAGAACTAAAACATTACAGTATACTGTATACAGTATGTACAATAAAAAGGGTTAAGAACACTTTATATACAGTACAGGCAGTCCCCGGGTTACGTACAAGATAGGGACTGTAGGTTTGTACTTAAGTTGAATTTGTACTTAAGTCGGAACTGGCGTCCAGATTCAGCCGCTGCTGAAACTGACCAGCGGCTGACTACAGGAAGCCCGAGGGAGAGTTTCTCTGCCCCGGGCTTCCTGGAATCAGAATTTATAGCTAAGCAGAATGGAGGCTCCTTGCTCAAGCTCCTCAGCTCACAGCAACTGCCAGGGTATCATTTGGGGAAAGATACGGTTTCTGAGGTAGACAAGATACAAAGCAATGAGGGCTTTGTAAATTAAAAGAAATCAACACATTCAGCTTTACCCAGAAATAAACTGGAAGCCGGAACGGGTTGTGGCATAGTGTTGAATAGTGGGGAACAGCTATGCACATTTTTAATTTCTGTTCTTGGCTTCAATCCATTCACGAAGCTTGTTTTTATCTGTTGGAACATTTTCTCAATGTTTCCATCACCACAATATCTGGAAGACACACAGATGAGCAAGAATAGGATTGTTTGTCTAAAAAGGGACAAACTTTTTCCCCCGATCACACTGCACCAGTTTCCTAAGTAGGAACATTCTTGGAGATTGCCGTGCTGCTGAGTACAGGCAGTCCCCGAGTTACGCGTATCCGACTTACGAACGGGGCTTTACTCGCCCCGGAGGATGCGGGCGGCAGGACCGCGGCGCGTCTGGGCGGTCCCGCCGCCCGTGTCCTCCGGGGCGAGAAAAGCCCCGTTCGTAAGTCCGGATCCGACATACGTCGGATCCGCGTAACTCGGGGACTGCCTGTATAAACAGTATATACATAACCAGCTTATAGTACCTCCTGATACTCCGGCATATCTGATAATCCGGCACCACCTGGGTCCCATAGGTTCCGGATTATCGGAAGTCTACTGTATTTGGTTTCCTTTCCAAATGATTCTCTCACTCTACATGTGTAAACTACATAAGACAAAGAGGAAAAACTGTTTCAAGATACAAGCATCTAACTAGCGGTCTAATTAAGTAGTATTTAAAGAAATTGTTCAGAACAGGGAGAAGTGCAATTAATATATCTGGGCAATGCAGAAAAATACAATCCTTAAGACAAGAATCCTCCAACAAAGTACAAAAAAAAAATGTTATACACAGATGCCATCTATTGGTTATCAAAAGCAGCAACAGAGAAATTGAGCTGAAAGTTAAGAACCTTAGCAAGGACTCACTAGACATGAGAGCTGTGGACTCAAGTTACTAAACCCATTAAAACTGCAAAAAAAAGAGAAGTGTGATATTTGGCTCAGCTGTGCAGACAGATTCGCCACACTGCTATAATCATCAGGTTTGAGAAATGACAAGATTTCATTTCAGAAATTGTATGCTTTAATGTGAATAAATGAATCACAATTTTTAGGAAGACCTCAAGTAACCATATTCTGGATTTTAACTAGGCAAGCTACGTGTCATTTTTATTCAAGTATGTTAACCTAAAGGATATTAAGAGTACCATAAGCAATTATTTTTTGATTTTTTTAAATTAGTCCATCAGTCCAAGCAAGAAATAGCAGGCACAACTCCTCATGATAGTGTCTTAAGACATAAACATCTTTAGTACCTTTAGACCATGTCTACACTGCAGATAAAATCGAAGTAGCCACAGTCAATCTTCCGGGATTCGAATTAGCAGATCAAATGAAGACACGCTAATTCAAACTGAGAAGGCGCTCCTATTGATGCCAGTAGTCATGCAACTCTAAGGAGCGAGTCAACTGTGCTTCCTTCAACTTCCTGCAGTGTGGGCAGCGCCAAAATTTGAGTTAACATACTTCGACTCAAGCTATGCAATTAACATTGCTGAAATTGTGTATCTTAATTTGAACTTATCCCCTACTGTAGGCTGGGGTTAGAGAATTATCTGCAGGGTGATCAATGCACTGGAGATGAAAAATTGGTAACTGATGATAAACGATTACATTTAAAAAAAATCCTTTTTGTTCCTCCATACAGATGCTTGCCACAACACTGGTCTATGCTATGCGTGCAATCTCGTAAATGCTTGTTTTGCTTTATACATGCCTGCAACATCTGAGGTAGCTACACTTATGTATATAAATCAACAATTCATAGATGATGTGGTCCTGGGTAAATTAATTCAAATATTGATTGACTGACTAGAGCAGGGGTGTCCAAACTTTTTTCAAAGAGGGCCAGATTTGATGAAGTGAACATGCGTGAGGGCCGACCATTTTGCCTGACATTCTTTGAACCATTAAAATTAAATGCAAATTAACTATTTTATGCAAAGTTTATTGCAAACGGCAAACGACATAACACCAACTATACATGTTGTGTCCAAATATATTTATAACTGATTTAGACCAACTGACATTAACTGAGATTTTACAATGTAGTCATCTCAATTGAAAAAAAAACTTGCCTACACTAATGTGAAGGGTGAAACTGAGATCTGGACTGCAGTACATAGGCTAGGTCTGGTTCAAAGGCAGTGGTTTTGATGCGCAAAATGTCACGCAGGTGAGAGTCACTTAGTCTTGTCCTCACGCGGTTCTTGTTAAAGTTCATAGCAGAGAATGTCTTCTCACACATATATGTTGAGCCAAACAAGCTCAGCATTTTCTTAGCCAATGTTCGAATCTCTTGAAACCGGCTCTTATCCAGTTGGCGGTAAAAGTTCACAAGAGAGAGCTGTTGGTGACGACTGCGTAACTCGCTGTTACAATGCAGCTCAATGAGCTCGAGCTGCAGCTGATCTGGAGCATCCTCGGGGTCAACAGAGAATGGAGAGGAGAAAAGGCTGATCTCCTTTTCAATAGCTGCAAAGTCCTGAAAGCGCCGTTTAAACTCCCCAGCCAGAGATGCAATGTCTGCTGCATACCTGCTCGTTTGCGCACTGATATTGTCCTGTGGAAAACTGTTCATTATTTCCTGCAACGCTGAAAAATGTATGGTATTGGGCTGTGTTTGTGACAACTGCCTTATGAAAAGTTGCAGCTTTGTCCCAAAGGCTTTGAGGTGTGAATAAAGCTGGTTCACCGCTGCATCTTTCCCCTGAAGACTCGTGTTCAGTACATTCAGATGCTTTGTTATGTCAACTAGAAACCCCAAATCAGCCAGCCAAATAGGATCAGATAGTTCTCGCATTGGTTGTCCCTTTGTTTCCAAGAATTCTCCGATTTCCTTTCTGAGAGAGTAGAAACGCTGCAGTGCAGACCCCCGACTGAGCCATCTTACATCGTTGTGATATAAAACATCTTCGTATTCAGCCTGGATGTCCAGTAGAAACTGTTTAAACTGGCGGTGGCACAGGGCTTTAGAGCGAATAAAATTAATAGTCTTTAGCACCGGTTTCATAACATGATCATATTTGAGATGTTTAGCACAGAGAACTTGTTGATGAA